GATTTCAATGTCACATTTGAAGTGCAACCCTAGAGGTTAACTTTTGGAGATATTTACATATTTGTGTTGGGCCTTTTTTAAATATTTTTAGGTTTAAATATTAGAACTTATTTTGTTTGTTATAAGCAGGGACTCGTGTATTTTCTTTTAACAAATGCCCCATTTCCATTCTCACAAGTGCATGTCTTCATCTCTGTTAAGTGTCCCTTTTCAGGTGCAAGAAGTGTCCCATTTTCACCTCTGATCATTGCCCTTTTTTACTTTGACACGAGCACCTTTCTGTTCTAATAACTGTCCTTTTCCCTTTTGATGTGTGCCTACTTTTCTGTACTTTTACTTTCTCCATAACATGCAACCCTAATTCAAAGCGACTTAGGGCCCCTTTATTTTTGATTTTCCCTCGCCATTTATAGTTATTATAATCATGTTGTTTATAAAAGAACTGTTTAGTCTGTCTGCATTAGACTGTGCTTTAAACTCATCGGGTTTGTTTTTTGTCCTCTTTATAAGATGCTCTGCGACCCACAACTCTTGAAGAAAATGTGCCCGCTCGCTTCGCTCGTTCCTAAATTGACAATTAGACCATGACACCCAACTGCAAAGTATTTTGCCTAAGCAGTGCCTTGTACCACGTAAAGAGATATACAAATATTGATGTCATCCCTTGTAGTGTAATCACAATCACGACTATGTAGGGGTATATATCAATGTCCCAAAATAGTGTATGTTCACTTGGAGGTTTCCCGTTGTAGGTGCCCCCTTTTTTTCTCTCCAGAAAGTTTTGTCGCCCCCCCCCCCCCACGCTTTGCCGCCTCTCACTACTTCTACTACTGCTTCTACGTATTATTTAAAAACTGATTTCCAGATTATAGGAAAGGCAGCCATGCAACTCATGTTGATCTAGTTTTGGGATGAACCGTTTAAATGAATTGACCGTATTTGTAGCAGGGAAGATTACATTTCAGAGTGTTACTTGTAATGATTTGGTTTCTGTGAAATCTGACCGCACATTGTTACAATGTAGGCAATGATTATAATTAACATTTTTAAAGGTCACATACTTATTAAGTGTAAAAATGAAATGATTTTTCAGTGGATGCATTCATCATATGTTTTTTATATTAATATAAATACCCGTTTATCAGTGTAATAAAACTGTTTATTGTTCTTTGCAATGTACCCTTCAGGATTTGGGAGTGGGTAGCGGGAGGGGTTGGTGGAATCGAGAGGGTGGCAGGAGGGGGTGTTGAGAAAAAGGGGGAGATCGATAAGGAGGATAGTGCATTTTTAAATTACTATGATCGAAAATTGATATTATATGTAAATAAATATGATTTTTCTTTGCTTTTGGTACCATTGGAAGAAGAAACCATTTTGAAAATGTTCCTGAAATCGGCTATCCAATCGTTTGTCTATACGTTACACATTTACTAACTTTCTTATCATTTGAAATGTGTTGTATAAGTATGTTTTTATAACTTGTATGTATTCATGTATTTCAGGATAAAAACAGTCAAAAAACAATATTACTTCCATTGCCTCTTGTACAGTAATAATAAAAGCAAAAGCAAAGTTATTAGCAAAAAAAATGTACCTTTATTGTTTGTATAATGGTTGTTTTGTGGCTGATGGTATTGAAAGCCTATACGAATCATTGTTTTTATTGATGTATTTACATGCTTTTGAACCACTGTCTATTCAGGAAAACCTACTTGATATGGTATACATTCTTTGTGGCTATTCTCGTAAAGTGCACTAGTCGCTAGTCGTTTGATTTTCTTGCTTCATTTATCTCTGTGGGTTTTTTGCCTGGAAATTAAATAACTGAATAAATGAAATCACCTTTTTCTTTACAATTAGGCTTGTCCTACATGTCGAGTTTTGATTGTTTGACACGTGTTGCTTCCCTGTGTCCATATATTCTTTTGTGATATACAAAAATCTTGTACCCATCTCATGAAGACCGATCAGAGACATCAATCTGTAAATCCTGTCAGGGTATATTGAGTCAAAAAGAGGTGACTTTGAGAGTAAACATCTTTAAGGTTGATCAGGAGAGGAAGCTCTGAAGAGATGGCAAGTCAATGCTCACGCAAAACTAGCCACTATCAGACAGGTAGCCTTTCTAGCCAGGTCCTACAACACACATTTCTTCCTATAGGAAACAATTGTGGTGGTGGTGGTGGTGGTGTGTGTGTGTGTGTGTGTGTGTGTGTGTGTGTGTATTTGGATGTTTACAGACGTATATCAATCAGATATGATTATTTACGACCTTTAACGTCACAGTCCGAAAGACGCGACCCAGATTTAAACCGAGGTCGTCTGAGCCAGTTTGTAGGCGGGGCGCGTTCATGCTTGATTTTGACGGCCAGAATCAGGCATCTGTTACGCGTTTAGTTTAAAACACGCTTGCGTTCATGCTCACTTTTGTAGAATCACCGAAAAACGGCGATCACGATCGCCGATCGTAAGCTCACAAAAAGATGCGTTTACAATTTGTAAACGCGTTTAAATGGGGTCAACGCACTGACCTCTAGTGGGTCTACGTAGCATGCACAGTGAAGGTTTGCGAATCCAGCTGGAAGACCAATTAAGGCCACACACTGAGAATTGCCTGGGGGAGCCAGAGAAGTAAGCATGAACACTACATCGTGGAACTGCGATCACGATGAGCGTTTACGATGAGCGTTTCAGATCGCTCATTCTGCCTTCAAAATTTAAGCATGAACGTAGCCCAAGTGAACGTGCCGCTAGACCAACTCAAATCTCCCTGTTTCTGTAGAAGATGAGTTGCCTGATGCTGAAATAAATTTATAAAATACATGTACAAATTGTTAGAAATAACTAAATATACGTTATTGGAGAATCGCGTTGAAAAGAGCCATACTTAAGCTTGTCATCTTGCACTCATTAAAGTAAAACGCAAGAATGAAACAGATAGCCGAACTCGAACAATATAAACGGAAACTAAATATACATTATTGCCTCTCACTCTTCCTGTTAGGGGAATGGAAACAGATATGACATTTGAGATTTTAAAACTGCAGGCTTGCTGGGATATGAATATAGACGAGACTCAATACCTAATTATATTTAGTTTGTGGGAGAAACTATTTTTCACCATTCTCAAATGATGGATGATTTTATTCTACCGACTTGTCAAATATCATAATCTTCGGAAAGTATTATACCTAATATAGGATTATGCATGCCCATGGTATTATGAATATAGATGCGCTTTATGCTATTTGTAGCTTATATATAGGCTAATACAATACAAATATTTGGCTTTCAGGGCAAAGTCGAAATAACGATTTTGGATCACAATGAGTACGGATTCATTCACAATCGACACGATTACTTTATCAAGTTATTGAAGAAAAATAATCCGCCAACAGCCCAACAACTTTGAAAACTCGAGTCGTTACCAATGACCTACGCAACGTGTAAAGATGGAGACGTTAACATAGAGAGAGAGGGAGAGAGAGAGAGAGAGGAGAGGGAAAAGGAGAGAGAGAGAAGGAGAGAGAGAGAATCGGAGACACAATGGCCCGAATACACAAAGGAGGTTTGTCGACCTCCTTTGTGAATTCGGGCCATTGAGTGTTCGTGGGGAAAACCACAATCCAAGCGTCGAAATCAATTGGTACAATAAAGTCGGAAGTTCAATAACTTACAGGTATAACTTCTATAATATTAAATTGTATTATCATGTGACAACTACAGAACAAGTGGCTACTTTTACATAAGACTGTTTATCGCTATGCGAAAACGATGGTTGTATTTATATATTTCGCCTGTGGACGCTTTTTGTCTATAGTTAACTTGAGTTGATTCGAAATGAACAAGTTGCTTGGTCATGATCATGCATACGGTGTTAACGAAGGGAGCTTTTTAGAACTGAGATAGCTTAACCGTTAAACTCCACTTCATGGTTCCTCAGACACTGCACATGCTGTGAGTACCCAACACCATGGTATAAAGTTACATGATACATGATACTGTATTATTGTGTTCTATATATGTAAATACAAAACAAATAAGTTTTACATTCATATGTATAAAAAAATATACAGAAAAAAATCTTGCCAAAGAATGGAACTAGGCTCGACTAGCACTTGTGCTAACTTCTAGTTCCCATTAACAACTTCATCTAAATATAGTAATACACATATTTACGTATATATTTTTTGTACATTTAATATTATGCAGATGTATGTCTAAATATCGTTTTTAAACCATTACTGTTCAATCGACATTACTCTTATGTTATGTATACATGTATCAGTATTATTTTTTGCATTGTATGATTGTTCATATGTACTGTCATTATTGTGATGTGTTGTTGTTAATAAATTTAAATTCAAATTCAAAATAATGGGACATAATAATGCTGACTACTTGCCGAATGTGAGGTGCCATGTTTTGGGCCTCTGTCGTACGGGCGAACATAGGTTGACGTACCAACATTATATATCATAAATGCATTGTTAATGCGTGGGACTATGTAGTGCAGGGAGTATATGTAAATGCATAGTCTCCACGTCCCATGGCAGCTTAGTATCACTTCCATGATGATAGAAGTACGGTCTCCTTAATCTTAGCCACCACCACCATCCTTTAAAATAAAATCTTGGGTGTAAACTTTAGTGTAAACACCATCTAGTGTGTGTTCTTCTCTCAAACTCGGCTCTTTTTCTGAACTAATGCTAAAATCAACTCCTGCTCTCAAATAAGCAGCTTAGTGTAATTAAAAGAAGACAGGAATAAGATGATGCCTTTGGTACCGGGAAAGGAGATTTAATAGAAGCTGAGCATGTAATACATTGTTCATATGTATATTTAATTTTCTGATTATCGTTCAAATACTTTAACAATAAATATCGGATGTATTATTATCGTAACGCTGAAGGAGATTATCTGATCAGGTATTCCACATTTCGATGTGATTCAGAGAATACTGCTTTTCATTCACGGTTGGGTGAATCAGTGTCAATAGATTTATCTATTAATTATTATATTACTAGACGGCGGAAATTATATCATTAACAAACTTTATTGACAGGGTAGTGTTGTTGGCACATTCGCTCATTTCAAGAATTTCTTTGTTTCTCACCAGACATATTTCAGCATAATGGCCTCTGCAAAGCAACATCTGATAGACAGTCTGATATGTCCAATCTGCATGGGTCTTCTCACCAAGCCAAAGCTTCTACCTTGCTCACACACATTCTGCGAAGATTGTTTAACCCTGGTCCACTCTGCTCAAACTCAAGCTACAGATCTGATACCGTGCCCTGTGTGTCGCTCTGATGCACCTGTGTACAACAATAACGTATCCAACTTTCCAACCAATCGAATTGCCCAGTCCCTTGCAGAAAATTTCAAAGAGGGATCGGACATGAAGAGAACGACCGATTCAACGGATGGCACTTCTTCGGGCCAACGTTGCACTTTGTGTGATGCCGATGATCAAGGACTTGCTACCTTCTACTGTCAGCATTGTTCAGAATTCCTCTGCGATTATTGTCTTAAGCAGCACAAACGGTTTAAGAAGAATGTCTTCCACGAGCTCGTTAGTGCTAGAGACATCGCATCAGGGGAAATCAGAATCCAACTTGCTTGTCCAGAACATCCTCAAGAACTGCAGCAGTTCGTGTGTATCACATGTCTGGTTCGGATCTGTTGTAGGTGTTTGGAAGTGGGTCATCAGCCTGGCGGGCATGAGGTCATCGGAATTGAAGAGTATGAAGAGAGCCACAAAGCAGCAGTTGATCTTTTGCAGGAGAAAATAGAACAGAAAACTGCCGTGATACAGAGCCACTTGTCCTTTGTGAAGGAGAAGATTGGCATGGTTCAAACTATCATCGGTAAACGTAGGCAAGAAATCGAGAATGTTTTTGAGTGCGCTCTAAAACGAATCCGAAAGAGGAAAGATCAACTGCTTGAAGAGTGCAACGCCTATGAAAGGTCGCTCTGCAAAGACCTTGAAAGAATCATCCAGTGTAACGATGACTTCCTTCAGAACCTATCACTCAAGGTTTCTGTAGTTACCAAAGAGTCTATTTCTCAAAGCTCAGAACAGTCGCTGCTTGAGCGTGTCGCACGAGTTGATGAGCTTGAAGCTCTCGTAAAAGGAGACAACCCTGATGCATCTCTTGCTGAATCTATAGCTCTCCGTGCAGAATTCCTGACCTTCCACCAAGCTGCAGAGTCCAAGGGTCTTGACCTTGGAACTGTTCAGGTCAAGGAGTGGGAGCTTCGAGAAACAGTAAGTTTTGATGGAGGTGTGACCTGTTTGGCTGCGACACCAGAAAGACATTTGGCTATTGCAACAAGGAATGGAGATATCAGAGAAAATGCGTCCCTGTTGCAGCTTGTGTGTGATCTCTTTCATTTTTTTGTTGGAATCCTCTTTCTTATTGGAATTTTGTATTGGTTGAATTGTCTTCACCTCTAGAATTCACTGGGATATATTTTCTTTGTTTGCATACTTCATGATGGTGTTATTTTACAGATATATTTTGTCTGTTTCATATTACTCTGATGCCACCTACACTATGTTGGTCAATTACAGGACCAAGTTCAAGAGAGTCATACGAGGAGAGGAGGAGTAGGAGTTACAACAAGACTTGCAAGTCTTGAGTTAATAATCTGATTTCAATGTTATATTTGCATAGTAACCCTTGAGGGTTACTAATGGTGATATTTACATATTTGTGTTGGGCCTTGTTTATATTTGTAGGTTGTCATATTAAAACTTAATCGCCCGAATTCACAAAGGAGGTTTGTCGACAAACCTCCTTTTGTTTCGCCAAACCTCCTTTTGTTCTTTACAAACCAGGTGTGTAAAAAACGCGTAAAAACGCGTCATATGACGTACGAAAACCAAGGTTTGTCGACAAACCTCCTTTGTGAATTCGGGCTATTGTCTTTGCTTAAAGCAGGCAATGGTGTATTTCCTTTTAAAAAACAGAATAAATTGTGGGTATTTCTATTTTTATCATTTTAAGAACGGTTCAAATGTCCGATGTTCTTTTTCATGATTTGTAATTTTCATTATCCTGGTGTTGATTTCATTTTTCAAGTCAATCTGATTATATGCAACTGATTATTATGAATTGTATATGCACATGTATTACACCAAAATACGTGCTTCCATTGTACTAGGAACAGCATGGTCTGTCCTGCATTATTTTGATAATAAAACCGAAGTCTGATTGAATTGAATTCTCCCTCCATCCATATTCGTTTTTTCTCTATCCTCTCCTCTTTATATTCTACACAAGCATTCATCTCCCCCCCCCACACACACACACACACACACACACACAACACACACACACATAACCCACACCCATTCGTCCCCAAATATGTGTGTGACTGTCCATTAGCCGATAGTTTCTATGCCATATGCGATACTTTCTATGCCAGTTTTCAAGGGCCTACTCGAAGACGTACCATATGAGCTTTGTACGGGGCTTAACCCCATATGTATTCAATGGCATTTGGCCAAAGCGTTAATCGACCTAAATAGCTAAGTATCGGCTTAAATGGAGCAATTTTCTCTTGAAGTTGAACAAATCTGTGAGTCAAAATAATACTAAGGTTGATTTGTACATCACGTCTGAGTGAGGGGCTCGTCCACAAAGCGAGTTCATTGAAGTATACATTCTAAATTCAAGAGAATTGACAAGTATTATGGTTAAAGGTGCTATGTCCCATTTGCAGGCCAAAAAATTGAAAAAGTTAAATTCCAACTACTAATACTAATTTAGAACTTCCCTAAAAAAGGTGGGGCTTGAAAATGTCTTCAAGTGGGAAAATAACGACTAGTAGTTGTCAAATCGACTTTAGGGCTATAGAGCCCAAAAGTAATAGTCTTGATTTTCAGACAATAATAAAATTATTGTACCAAATGGTCATACGTTTTATGCTGCGCAAAGATTCAATCAGTTTAATCTTGGCCATCACAAGAAGTGGGTTATTGATGTAGACAAATGCTCATGTACCCTTTACAACTCTTTTCATGTATGTTATTACCAAAGAAGAAAAAAGCCAGTCAGTCACTCAATAGTGTCTGACAGTGAAGTCTAGCAAATAAACGGGTTTCCTTGCATAATTTGAATATGAGGACACTGCTAACGTTTAAATTTCACAGATAGGACATACATGACATATTCATAATCCCTGCAAAGTTCTACAGCATTTGAGGTTGGCTGCAAAAGGGACATAGTACTTTTAAGAGAATGATGTCTCCATCTAGGATCATACTATACTTACGTACAGAGAATGCCTAAACAAACGGGTGAATGTACTGAGAGATTATATTTTTTTAATAAATTAAGAATTGATATTTTCCTAGAGTGATGTGTAAAACATCTCACCAATCTAAGGCACAGATTTGATAACAAATTTAAACTTGAAGGGCTGGGTCCAGGCGCGTACGCAGGGGGGGGGGGGTGTTGTCAGGGTATAACCCCCCCCCCCCCCCAAAAAAAAAAAAAAAAAAAAAAATGCAGCCCTGCACATCAACACATATTTCGACGTCACCAGACCTTTAAAAACGAACATGAAATTGAGAAGAGTTAGTTTTAAACTTGGGTGGATATTTTTTTTGGGGGGGGGGGGGAGGCTTAAAAAGAAGGATCTTTGACTTTCTTCGTGGACTATGTACGAGTACAACCATCTTCTATCACTAACAAAGAGTGTATGGACATGTACATTAAAAATCGTTTTATCTTGAAGTTGCATTTCAACTTTCACTTTTTGCAATATTATATTTTGCGTTGTATGATAATGTGTACGTATTGTCTTGTAGTGACGTATTTTGTTGACCATATACGTAAACTAGAGGTATTAAGTACTTTTACTGTCTGGTGCAGTTGTGAACAACCATTATTTTGCAAATGGAGATGGTTTATTAAAAAAATAAGAAAACGATGGTACACTGAATGAATCAATACGCGCAAAGCTTTTTGTTTTGATGATTGGGGAATTTTATTTATTTCTAATCTTTTGACAGGGTAGCCCATTCACCAATAACGAGTGGTCTTTCATGGGGCCCTGAATAAACATGAACATATTTTACATCAAAAAGCATAACGTTTATACAGAACAGTTTCAAAAAAATACTCGTTTGCAAAATAAACATATATCATTAACCTAGTTCAATAGTAATGTCAATAGGAAAATATCGATTAATTCGCAATTGGTGTTCCCCTTGAGTGTAACCCTTGAGGTTAACTTTTTGTGATATTTACATATTTGTGTTGGACCTTGTTTATATCAGATGATGGATGATTTGATTCTACCTAACCTACTTGTCAAAATATCAAAATCTTCGGAAGGTCTCCAGGATTATGCACGCCCATGGTATTATGAATAAGGATGCCCATTATGGTCAGGCACGTAGCCAAGGGGGGCGGAGGCACGGGGGCACATGCCCCCCCCCCCCCCCCCCAAAAAAAAAAAAAAAAAAAATCCAGGATCGGTTGAACTTTTTTAGACCCCTCCCCAGGACGTCGATCGATTACATGAATGTGCCCCCCCCCCCCGAAAAAAAAGGAGAAAAAAAAAACATCAAACTCTGGCTATACGTGCCTGATTATGGTATGTTGTAGCTTAGATATCAGCTAAATCAACAAACCTCTTTGGCTTTCAGGGCGAAGTTCGAAATACTGGTTTTGAATCACAATGAGTATATACGGATCAACTCACATTCGACACACTATATTTTTGTATTGAAAAAAACCTTTCAAAAACTTTGAAAACTCGAGTTGAATTCAATGACATACGCAGCATGTAGATATGGAGACATTATACGCATGCATATCTAGATGAGGGGTGTTAGAGAGAGAGAGAGAGAGAGAGTAAGAGAGTGAGAGGTGTATGGTGGAACAACGAGTGTTCGTGGGGGAAACCGAGCACGCAATCCCAGAGATATAGAGAAAAAGAGACAGAAAGAGAGACAGAAAGAGAGACAGAAAGAGAGAGACAGAGATAGACAGAGAGAGACAGAGAGACAGAGAGAGAAAGAGACGGAGAGACAACGAGTGGGGAACCGAGCACGCAATCCCAGAGAGAGAGAGAGAGAGAAAAGAGTCAGAAAGAGAGAGAGAGAGAGAGAGAGAGAGAGAGAGGGAGAGAGAGGCGGAGAAACGACCAGAGTTCGTGGGAAAACCCAGCAATCCCAACGTGTAAGAAGAACCCGGGGGGTCCGAAGTTCAATAACGTACATGTTTGCATACAGCTTTGATATGTACTGCCGATTGCACTCATGTGGAATCTCACTTTAGGGTGATAATAAATGGTATTATCATGTGACAACTACAGAACAAGTGCTTACTTTTACAATAGACTGTTTATCGGTTTGTATTTCGATATCTCGCCTTTGGACCTCTGTGCTTATTATAGCTAGCTGTAGCAAAGTTGCTTGATCATAATTATACACACGTTGATAACGAAGGGAAGCATTTTGAGAAGTGGATAGCTAAACCATTTAACTCCAGTACATGGTTCCTACATGTAGGACACTGCACATTCTGTGAGTATTAAACAGGGTATGTTGCTGGCTTCCTGCTAAATGTTAGGTGCCATTTTTAGGTCAATGTTGTACGGGAGAATATACGTGACGTACCAACAAGATAATCATGAATGGTTCGTTAATGCGGGGGACTATGTAGTGCAGGGAGTGTGCAATTACATAGCATGGTAGTATCCACGTCCCACGTATTCACTTCCATAGTGATAGAAGTACGGCCTCCTTAACCTAGCTTAGCCAATAGTCACCAACACCATCCTAAGTACCGGGACAGACAGGGGAGGGGAGGGCTTGAGCATGCAATACGTTGGTCATCTTTCTGGTTATTAATCACTTACTCTGAATTGACATTGAACTGACATTTATTTCCATCATCATGACAATATAATTATACAACGATAACGGATCGAATATCATAACGGATACTAGAAAGTGTAAGTGGAAAATGGTGCATCTGTAAAAGCCAATAAGGCTTTACAATCGAATGCATCAACAACTAATAATAACGAATTAATAAGAGGGGGGTTGCATTTAGGTATGAGAGATGTGGTCTTTAAATAAATTATGCTGTATGAAGAGAGAGAAGATGTTTCTTGTTAAGCCTTTAAAATGAATTGTTAAATCGAACAGACCACTAAAAAGCAGGTAGGGAATTCCAATGTTGCATTCCAATGATGGAATTTATCAGCATTTCTTGTGAAATGGGAATGGACCGCATTGACTAAATAGGGGCACAAGGTTTTTGAAGGTAGGGCGTTTGAGAAGAATCGTTGCATCAATGACACAATTTTTAATTTATTCATATCAAAAATAATTATGTAAAGTATTGAATCTTCTAAAATAATACAGGATATGAGGAAGCTATGGAAAGGGGATCTGAGCAAAGGTGTATTGCCTTTTTTTTGTTTAAGTCTCTGTAATTTGAGTAACTAAGAGGGATGTCTCGTCGCCAAAACAGAATTGCAATAGCCTATATAATGTATGGCAAAATAAATGCATTGTATAACATGAATAAAACACGGAGTGGTATAACAAGTTTTAAGTGAATATAATACCGACGCTCTGTGAAACCTTTTTTGGAATAGGACTATAATTAATAAGGTAATTCAAAACTCTACACTGTTCAATTAATTCATTGTTGATAGAAATGATAGACATTGTCATATATAGGACTAAGGTTTCAAGCAAATTTGAGAATAACAAATTTAGTCTTGTAAACATTCAAAGACAGCTTATTGCAAAACTAGCAGTCTTATACATACTGTCATGTTCAGATTCAGTTCATGGATTAAAAGATCAAACTTTTTATCTGAACCAAGAATGGTCGTATTGTGTGCAAAAAGTGTGAATTTACAGAAAGTGAAACAATTTACAATATCATAGATGTAAATCAAAAATAACAGAGGCCCCAAAATAGAGCCCTGTGGAACGCCATATGATATTGGATTAAAAAGAGAATTATGGGAATTTACAGATGTAAATTGCTTTCTTTCTGCAAAATAACGATATATTGATGCAACATTATCATAATTCTCAATAGAAACAATCCAGTGAAAAATGTAAGTTTATTATCTGATCAAGTATTCTATATTTCGACGTGATTCAGAGATTTCTGTATTCCATTCACAGTTGGGTGAATCAGAGTCATTAGATTTTTGTGTAATTATTATATTACCCGGCCAAAGAAATTGTTTAATTAACAGACTTTATTGACAGGGAAAAGTCGTTGGCACATTTGCTCATTTCAAGGATTTCTTTGTTTCTTACCAGACACATATCAGCATAATGGCCTCTGCAAGGCAACACTGACAGACAGTCTACAATGTCCAATCTGCAAGGATCTTCTCACCAAGCCGAAGCTCCTACCTTGCTCACACACATTCTGTGAAGGTTGTCTGACGCAACTCCACTCAACTCAAGTTCTGGGTAATCGGATAATGTGCGCTGTGTGTCGCTCTGTTGCACCTCTGTCCAACAATAACGTATCCAATTTTCCAACCAATCAAATTGTCCAGTCCCTTGCAGAAGATTTCAAAGAGAGATCGGACAAGAAGAGAGCAACCGATTCAACGGATGGCGCTTCTTCCGGCCAACGTTGCACTTTGTGTGATGCTGATGATCAAGGACTTGCTACCTTCTACTGTCAGCATTGTTCAGAATTCCTTTGCGACTTTTGTCTAGAGCAGCACAATAGGTTTACGCAGAATGGCCATCACGAGCTCGTTAGTGCTAGAGACATTGCGTCAGGGGAAATCAGAACACAACTTGCGTGTATAGAACATCCCAGAGAACTGCAGCAGTTCGTGTGTATCACATGTCTGGTTCGCATCTGTTGTAGGTGTTTGGAAGTGGGTCATCAGCCTGACAGGCATGAGGTCATCGGAATTGAAGAGTATGAAGAGAGCCACAAAGCAGCAGTTGATCTTTTGCAGGAAAAGATAGAACAGAAAACTGCTGTGATACAAAGCCATTCGTCCTTTGTGAAGGAGAAGATTGGCATGGTTGAAAATATTATCGGCCAACAAAGGCAAGAAATCGAGAATGTATTTGAGGGTGCTGTCGAACGAATACGACGAAGGAAAGATCAACTGCTTGAAGAGTGCAACATCTACCAGAGATCGCTCTGCGAAGATCTGGAAGGTATCATCGAGTTCCACGAAGACTTCCTTGAGAACCTATCAACCAAGGTTTCTGTGGTCACCGAAGAGTCTACTGCTCAATGTGGAGACCAGTCATTGACCGAGCGCGCTGCACGAGTAGGTGAAATTGAGGCTCTCGTGAAAGGAGACAACCTTGATGCATCTCTTCCTGAATCTATAGCACTCCGTGCAGAATTCCTGACCTTCCAACAAGCTGCAGAGTCCAAGGGTCTTGACCTTGGAACTGTTCAAGTCAAGGAGTGGGAGCTTAGAGAAACGGTGAGTTTTGATGGAGGTGTGACCTGTTTGGCAGCGACGCCTGATGGACAATTGGCTATTGCAACAAGGAATGGAGACATCAAGTTCTTTTCGACCGAGGGACAATTGCTACAGACTACAGTTATGGAAGGTGTTCGCGGATTAGGTTTCTTAAAGGATGGAAGTTGCGTTGTCCGCCAAACAAATAATAAAGTCACAGTGTACTCTCTACAGTGGGAGGAACTCGATGGACGATTCGAAACTCTGAGCAAAGAAGAAGATGGGGTCGGTGGGATCTCAGTAGACATTCATGATCGCATCTACCTAGACTACAAGAAGGGCAGGAAGATACAGATGTTCTCACCAGGAGGTGGGCAAGCAGAGAAGGAGATCCCATGCGACGGGTATGAACCATGGCATGTATCTGTCATAGGTCAGGCACCAGAGTCCTAGCTCTTACTCACAGCAACTCGGTAAGGATCATTGATGATGCGGGGGATAAGAAACACTTCATCACAAAGGAAGTAGGTTCTCACATCCACCCTTCTGTTTGCCAGGATGGTACCATTCTCTTGGCCTGTATGAATCACAGTAAGGCCGTGTTTAGTATCGAGCGGTACACTAGTGAGCTCGAGTACACACAGACCCTTGTAGCTGATCAGAAGATGGAGAAACCAGATGGAAAATGGTGCTTCTTGCAGGAAGTCATGAGTGGAAAGGTCGTCCTTTGTACTCCAGATAAGCTATACATTTACAGCAAACTGTTTTGGTGAAGATATGCTTACTATTTGATAGTCCCTCCATGTCACTCTTCGTATCTACTATTCGAAGTTTAAATTTGATCGTTTTGTTTTATAGTTGGAATATGCATGTAAGAATAAATGGCATCAAATGTTATCGTAATTGCATGTACATTCCCTGCATATCCCTCAAATTCGTCACTCATCTAAAAATTCCAACCATAGTATTGCTGCCAGATCTATGGGTTTGTACATGTACATGTTGACGTACACGGATCATTCAATGTTTTGTGCAAAGTTGCAGTTTTACCTGGCGTGGAATCGTGCATAAGTCTATTCCAACATTATTACTGTGGTAACACTCCGTAAAGCATATTTCTTTTAGTGTTTTTTTTTTCATTTAGTGATTGTTTCTGTAGTATCGAGATTTCTCCACTTAGGTAATGACCTGGTTTTGCACAGGAATTTTGTCCTTATTCTCATTTAATGAATATCACTTATGAATGCAAAATAACAGCGTTCAAATTATATTAAGAGCAATAGACTTTTGCCTCAACATTTGTTTATTCATTATAGAATGCATTTTTGTAAAGTAACGTCAAAATGAGGTGTCACATAATTTGAAGCAAGAGCGGTTTAATTTATCTGGAAACACTGATATTAATTACCATTTGTACCATCGTACCATATTTTTTCAGTTGATATTTTTACTCTACACGATTATGTCACATAACAAACAGTATGTTGAATGAAATGTAAATTGTAAAATGTATCACTCGAATTATATTATACTCTATTTTATTGTAGGAAATGATCACACATCTATTTGTATTTATTATAGGACAATTGTATATACTTTCTTGTAATAGCTGTCTTTTCCCAAATGAAATGAAAAAGGCTTTTTTTCTATTAATACTCATAATGTCATAATATATTGCTTGTTTATTCATAATTATTTCAAACTATCATAATGGTATAATGATTCAAACTAATAATAATATCAATACAAATAATAATAATAATAATATTGATATTGATAATGATAATAGTAATAATGAGTACAATGTTATATTGTTTAAGTAATTACTCTGGATATAGGAACAATTATTGTCAATAATTTAAATTCAGAGAAAATATCTATATATAGGAACAATTATTGTCAATAATTTAAATTCAGAGAAAATATCTATATATAAGAATGTTAAAGTAATATTTTTTCTATATACTCGTTTTTATGTTGTATGTTTCATGTCACATGTACATGTTATCTATTTTCCCTGTGAATAATGCATGTAACAGGACAAATTTCCTTTTGGACCAATTAAGTTTGAATTTGAATTGAATTTATACATGTACTTTCAAAATTGGGAATGCAAAAAGTTCATGAATCAAACAGTTTTTATGTAAACATGAATAACAAAAACTTTGAATACACAGTGCCACTCTTTCGAACGTCAGTTTGATTTCTATGGATGTTGTTATTTATGATAATTGCGAAGTCTGTTCAAAGTTGAAATCATATGTATTTGCTATGAAGATAAGAAAAGTCTATCATTATATTAAAATGACCCTTTTGTCGTAGTAGTAAAATCAAGATTTAAATGCAAACACTTGGGATTCGATAAAGTTCAGTGTGGTATCATTCGAATCATGTGATATGATAAGTTAAGGCAAAAACACTCGTCCGCTGTTTGTGTGGGACAACAGTCATATAATATACCTATATTCGCATGATAAGCTATGTAAGTACATGTGTATGCTAAGGGTGGTTAAGAAGATAGCGTCAAATAACTTTCAAAGGTCACTTCATAAAGATTAGTGCAATGTTAAATAACCCCAAGAATAGAACATACCGTTCGATTCCAACAAGTTTACTTGTTCTCACTCGATTTCATATCGTGCCGACGGGCCAGACAGGAACATCTTTTAATATTAATGTGTGAATAATAATACTGTGAGGGATGAAAAACGGAACTTCGCACCGAGAAATCCATCGGTTTTTCATGAGCATCGTTCAAAAATAAAAAGTTCGTTCCTCTAGAAATTGAAACCCACTATCCCCAGTCACACCGCCAATCAGATTACAAACCGGCTTAAATCAGACAGATTTCAAGCCTTTCAGGGTAATACAATTGTTCGTTTGTCTTTTGACGGTGTTGTCAATGTAACTGGGCTAGTTGAAATAGGACGATCACCTTTTATCTTGTGACTGTCTGGTGTCATTCTTGTTGGTACTACCGATGATGGTGATAGGAATCGGTTATTCACCTGCATGCATCGCGCAACACATTTGTGCACGTATTTGACCGCGGGCAATTAAAATACGTCAATAAAGTAAAATCTCAAGGCACGAATGTACTGTTTTTTGAAGAATACTGAACTGAGATATCTAGCCTAAGTAAGAGATGGATTGTTCGTAAATGATAAGAGTTCGATGTAATGCATGCATGTAAAATATGATTATTGGTAGCATATTTATTATCTTCTACAAAGCAAATATCTGCATGTATTATAGCCTTTCTCGAAACCATATTTTGGGCTGATAGTCTCTCTTTCTCTTTCCCCGTCTCTCTGTCCCTGTTTTCCTTTATTTCAATACTATCACAATACGATTAGAAATGATATAATGATTGTATATTATATACCACAGATATACATTTCTTGTTTATATTGGTATTAAGGTAGATTTTACCTACCCCACTTTTTTCAGTACAGTTCAAATGTTCGAATGTATTTCATCATGATTTGTAGTTTTCATTAGCCTGGCTTGATTTCATGTTCAAGCTTTTCTGATTATACAAAACTGATTATTATAAATTGTACATCCATATGTATTACACTACAATATATTCAAATCTCAGTGCTTTCAGTGTTGGTCTTATTTCTTTATTGCTTGTGGGAGAAACTATTTCCCCCATTCTTTTCAAATGATGGATGATTTATTCTACCTACTTGTCAAATATCATAATCTTCGGAAGGTATCCAGGATTATGCATGCCCATGGTATAATGAATAAGGATGTACATTATAGTATTTTGTAGCTTAGATATCGGCTGGATCAATTCACATTCGACACAACTATATTTTTCGTTAAAAAAAATCCTGTCAAAAACTCGAGTTGTTATCAATGACCTACGCAACGGGTAGCGATGGAGACGTTAATAGAGAGAGAGAGAGAACAAAAACAGAGAGAAAAAGAGGGACGAAGAGAGACAACAAGTGTTCGTGGGGAAAACCCAGCGAACAATTCCAGAGATAGAGAGGGAAAGAGACACAGGTATAAAAGAGAAAGGTGGAGAGACAATGAGTGTTCTTTGGTAAAACCCAGCTGACAATCCCAGAGATAAAGATATAAGAGAGAAATGGAGAGACAATGAGCGTTCGTTTGGAAAAAGCCATCGAGGGAGGGTAAGAGGGAGAGAAATGGAGAGACAATGAGTGTTCGTTGGTAAAACCCAGCTGACAATCCCAGAGATAAAGATATAAGAGAGAGATGGAGAGGCAATGAATGTTCGTTTGGAAAAAGCCAATGAGGGAGGGTAAGAGGGAGAGAAATGGAGAGACAATGAGCGTTCGTTTGGAAAAAGCCATCGAGGGAGGGTAAGAGAGAGAGAAATGGAGAGACAATGAGTGTTCGTGGGGAAAACCCAGCGGACAATCCAAGCGTTGAACGATATCGAAATGGTACAATAAAGTCGGAGTTCGATGACGTACATGTATGACAGAAAATGGTATCATCGTGGGACAACTACAGATCAAGCGGCTGAGTTTTACAATAGACTGCGTACCGTTTTGCCAAAATAATTTTTATATTTCTATATCTTGCCTTTGGATCCTTTGTTCCTACAGCTAGCTGGAGTTAATTAGAAATGAAAATGTTACTTGATCATAATTAGGCACACGGTGATAACGAAGTGATTTTTTGAAGATTGAGATAGCTAAGCCGTTGAACTCCACTACATGGTTCCTCAGACACTGCACATGCCGTGAGTATAATGTTACTGACTTCCTGCTAAATATTAGGTGCCATGTTTTAGGTCAATGTTGTAAGGATGAACATAGGTTGACGTACCAACAATATATATCATAAATGTATTGTTAATGCGTGGGACTATGTAGTGCAGGGATTATCCAAATACATATTCTCCACGTCCCAAGACACCTTAAAGGGGTGTAAATTGACGAGAATATGTGCTATTCCGTGGCCTGACTCGGGGCCAATCGGGTATCAATTTAGACACGTGTGCAAACAGTGTGAATTTACAGAAAGTGACAAAATTTACAATATCATTGATGTGATTAAAAAATAACAGAGGCCCCCCAAATAGAGCACCGTGGGACGCAATATGATATTGGATTAAAAAGAGAATTATGAGAATTTACAGATGTAAATTCCTTCCAGCATAATACAAATATTGATGGATTATCATCATAATGCTAAATAGAAATTACCTAGTGAAAAATGGAAGACTAGTGTATCATTTTACAGAGATAACTCTTATCCAGTGGCGTACGCATGATTTTTTCAAGATGGGGGGGGGGGGGGGGGGGGGGGGGGAGTTTAAAATCGGGCCCGAAAAATTTGCTCCCGAAAATGTGAAAATCGCGCCGGCCGAAAAGTCGCTCAGTGGGGGGGGGGGGGGGGGGGTAAGAGGACACTTTTTTTTGGTCTCGAAATTTGAAAAATTGACATTTTGTTCCGTTGGGGGGGGGGGGGGTAAGGTCACCTTTTTTTTTAGGCCTGCCATTGGTATAATTTTTTCACAAAAAACCAAACACAAACATATACATAAAAAACTCAAGGGGGGTTTAACCCCCCCCCCCCCCCCCCCTGGCGTACGCGCCTGCTCTTATCTATTTACTGTTATGTAAATTAGAGTCATTTGATTGATTGATTTATTGTTACATTAACAAACTTTATTGACAAGGATATGTCGTTGGCACAGTCGCTCATTTCAGGGATTTCTTTGTTTCTTACCAGACACATGTCAACATAATGGCCTCTACAAGGCAACATCTGACAGACAGTCTACAATGTCCAATCTGCAAGGATCTTCTCACCAAGCCGAAGCTTCTACCTTGCTCACACACATTCTGTGAAGGTTGTCTAACCCAAGTCCACTCAACTCAAGCTTGGCGTGATCAGATACCGTGCCCTGTGTGTCGCTCTGTTGCCCACGTGTCCAACAACAACGTATCATACTTTCCAACCAATCAAATTGCCAAGTCCCTTGTAGAAGATATCAAAGAGAGATCGGACAAGAAGAGATCGACAGACTCAACATCCTCTGGCCAACGTTGCACCGTGTGTGATGATGATGATGATCAAGGACTTGCTACCTTTTACTGTCAGCATTGTTCAGAATTTCTCTGCGACTCTTGTCTTGAGCAGCACAATAGGTTTAGGAAGAATGTCTTCCACAAGCTCGTTAGTGCTAGAGACATCGCATCAGGAGAAATCAGAATACAACTTGCGTGTCCAGAACATCCTCGAGAACTGCAGCAGTTCGCGTGTATCACATGTTTGGTTCGCACCTGCTGTAGGTGTTTGGAAGTGGGTCATCAGCATGACGGGCATGAGATCGTCGGAATTGAACAGTGTGACAAGTGGCTCAAAGAAGTAGTTGATTCTTTGCCGGAAGAAGTAAACAGAAAACTGCTCTGATACAGAGCCATTCGTCATTTGTGAAGGAGCAGATTGCATTGTTCAAAATATTATCGGTCAACAAAGGCAAGAAATGAAGAATTTCTATGAGGCGCTCACAAACATTTACGAGAATGGAAAGACCATATGGGTAAAGAGTGCGACACCTATGAAAGATCGCTCTGCAAATCTCTTGAAGATATCATCCAATGTCAGGATGACTTACTTGATAACTTGCAAGCCAAGGTTTCTGTAGTCACCGAAGAGTGTACTTCTCAACGTAAAGACCCGCCGTTTTCTGAGCGTGTCGCACGAGTTAAAGAGCTTCAGGCTCTCGTGGTAAGAGCCAATCCTGATGCATCTCCTGCTGAATCTATAACACTCCGTGCAAAATCTCTGACCTTCCACCAAGTTCAAACCGTGTTTTGGCTGCCAGATCGATGGGTTCGTGAATGATGACGTACACAGATCATTCAATGTTTGTGCAAAGCTGTAGTTTTTTCCTGGAGTAGAATCGTGTATAGGTCTATTCCAACACTATTACTGTGATAACACTCCGTAAACGGTATCTCTTGAAGCAGGCACGGATCCAGGATTTCATAGGGGATGGGGCCAACATTTCTTTATTTTTTTCGCTCCCGAAAATTTGAAAATCGCGCCGGTCTAAAATTCGCTCATGGGGGTGGGGGGGGGGGGGGGGGGGGGTAGTGAGCACATTTTTTTTGGGGGGGGGTCCTTGAAAATTTACAATTTTGTACCCCCCCCCCCCTCCCTTTGAGCGCCAGGGGGGCCCAACCCCCCAAAAAGGTAAAAATCACGTGTTTTTACATGATTTTTTTCTCAAGGGGGAGGGGGCGGGCCCCTGGGCCTACCCCCCCCCCCCCCTGGGTCCGCCACTGTCTTGAAGTGAATTTTCATTTAGAGTTCGTTTCTGTAGTATCAAGATTTATCCACGTAGGTAAGGTCCTGATTTTGCACAGGATTTTTTATATTATTCTTATTTGATAAATATCACTTTTTAATGCAAAATAACAGCGTTCCGATTATATTAAGAGCGATATACTTTTGCCTCAATTGTTGTTGTATTCATTTAAGAATGCGCGCTGGTATAATAACGTAATAAAGAGGTGTCACATAATTTGTTGCAAGAGCGGAATTCTAGAAATACTGATATTAATGACCATTTGTACAATATTACCATAATTGTTCAGTTGATATTTTTATTCTATACGATTATGTCACATAACAAACAGTATTCATACATGTGATTTCAACAGTAGGAATGCAAAAAGTTCATTAGTTTAATAGTTTTTTATGTGAACATGAATAACAATTGTAGAGGTGTCGTGGACGAGTGGATATGTCACCGGACTGTGGATCACAAGGTCTGCGTTCAAGTCCCACCGCGGCACTAATGTCCTTTGGCAGACATTGATCTACATTGGGCCACTCTCCACCCAGGTGTTAAATGGGTACCCGGTAGATGCGAAAGCTAATGTTCTTAGATTAGCAAGTGTGCGCTTGTAAAATGATGCACTGGCTGGAATGCTCCCCAGGGAGTGGAAATGTGCATACATTGTGTGCGGGTAAGCCTGAATCCGATGACTGGGGTAATAATATGATTTCCCTCAGGGAGAACATTACGAATACTGATGAGGCTACCCTGGGTAAACAAGACTATAATACACAGTGCCTCTTTTTCTAACTTCCTTTTGATTTCTATGGAAGTTGTCATTGATGATAATTGCAAAGCCTGATGAGCAAAGTTCAAATAATATATGTTTGCTATAAAAAGAAATACTCGTCCGCTGTTTGTTTTATGTTTGTGTGGGAACAACAATCATGTAATGAACCACTTACAAGTCCCGCGTTCTCGGAAATTATGCAACATTTGCTCAGGGTGGCTTGGAAGAAAGTGTCAAATAACTTTCAAAGGTCCTTTGATAAAGATTAGTGCATTATTAAATAACCCCAAGAATGGAACATACCGTTCGATTCCAACAAGTTTACCTGTTCTTACTCGATTTCGTATCGGCCGTCTGTCCGAAATCGTTTAATATTGATGTGTAAATAATAATACTGGAATGGATGAAAAACAGAACTTTACACCGAGAAATCAATCGGTATCAATCAAGCATCGTTCAAAAATAAAAAGTTCGTTCCTCAAGAAATTGAAACCCACTATCCCCAGTCACACCGCCATCAGATTACAAGACCGGCTTAAATCAGACAGATTTCAAGCCTTTCAGGGTAATACAATAGTTCGTTTGTCTTTTGACGGTGTTGTCAATGTAACTGGGCTAGTTGAAATAGGACGATCACCTTTTATCTTGTGACTGTCTGGTGTCATTCTTGTTGGTACTACCGATGATGGTGATAGGAATCGGTTATTCACCTGCATGCATCGCGCAACACATTTGTGCACGTATTTGACCGCGGGCAATTAAAATACGTCAATAAAGTAAAATCTCAAGGCACGAATGTACTGTTTTGAAGAATACTGAACTGAGATATCTAGCCTAAGTAAGAGATGGATTGTTCGTAAATGATAAGAGTTCGATGTAATGCATGCATGTAAAATATGATTATTGGTAGCATATTTATTATCTTCTACAAAGCAAATATCTGCATGTATTATAGCCTTTCTCGAAACCATATTTTGGGCTGATAGTCTCTCTTTCTCTTTCCCCGTCTCTCTGTCCCTGTTTTCCTTTATTTCAATACTATCACAATACGATTAGAAATGATATAATGATTGTATATTATATACCACAGATATACATTTCTTGTTTATATTGGTATTAAGGTAGATTTTACCTACCCCACTTTTTTCAGTACAGTTCAAATGTTCGAATGTATTTCATCATGATTTGTAGTTTTCATTAGCCTGGCTTGATTTCATGTTCAAGCTTTTCTGATTATACAAAACTGATTATTATAAATTGTACATCCATATGTATTACACTACAATATATTCAAATCTCAGTGCTTTCAGTGTTGGTCTTATTTCTTTATTGCTTGTGGGAGAAACTATTTCCCCCATTCTTTTCAAATGATGGATGATTTATTCTACCTACTTGTCAAATATCATAATCTTCGGAAGGTATCCAGGATTATGCATGCCCATGGTATAATGAATAAGGATGTACATTATAGTATTTTGTAGCTTAGATATCGGCTGGATCAATTCACATTCGACACAACTATATTTTTCGTTAAAAAAAAATCCTGTCAAAAACTCGAGTTGTTATCAATGACCTACGCAACGGGTAGCGATGGAGACGTTAATAGAGAGAGAGAGAGAACAAAAACAGAGAGAAAAAGAGGGACGAAGAGAGACAACAAGTGTTCGTGGGGAAAACCCAGCGAACAATTCCAGAGATAGAGAGGGAAAGAGACACAGGTATAAAAGAGAAAGGTGGAGAGACAATGAGTGTTCTTTGGTAAAACCCAGCTGACAATCCCAGAGATAAAGATATAAGAGAGAAATGGAGAGACAATGAGCGTTCGTTTGGAAAAAGCCATCGAGGGAGGGTAAGAGGGAGAGAAATGGAGAGACAATGAGTGTTCGTTGGTAAAACCCAGCTGACAATCCCAGAGATAAAGATATAAGAGAGAGATGGAGAGGCAATGAATGTTCGTTTGGAAAAAGCCAATGAGGGAGGGTAAGAGGGAGAGAAATGGAGAGACAATGAGCGTTCGTTTGGAAAAAGCCATCGAGGGAGGGTAAGAGAGAGAGAAATGGAGAGACAATGAGTGTTCGTGGGGAAAACCCAGCGGACAATCCAAGCGTTGAACGATATCGAAATGGTACAATAAAGTCGGAGTTCGATGACGTACATGTATGACAGAAAATGGTATCATCGTGGGACAACTACAGATCAAGCGGCTGAGTTTTACAATAGACTGCGTACCGTTTTGCCAAAATAATTTTTATATTTCTATATCTTGCCTTTGGATCCTTTGTTCCTACAGCTAGCTGGAGTTAATTAGAAATGAAAATGTTACTTGATCATAATTAGGCACACGGTGATAACGAAGTGATTTTTTGAAGATTGAGATAGCTAAGCCGTTGAACTCCACTACATGGTTCCTCAGACACTGCACATGCCGTGAGTATAATGTTACTGACTTCCTGCTAAATATTAGGTGCCATGTTTTAGGTCAATGTTGTAAGGATGAACATAGGTTGACGTACCAACAATATATATCATAAATGTATTGTTAATGCGTGGGACTATGTAGTGCAGGGATTATCCAAATACATATTCTCCACGTCCCAAGACACCTTAAAGGGTGTAAATTGACGAGAATATGTGCTATTCCGTGGCCTGACTCGGGGCCAATCGGGTATCAATTTAGACACGTGTGCAAACAGTGTGAATTTACAGAAAGTGACAAAATTTACAATATCATTGATGTGATTAAAAAATAACAGAGGGCCCCCAAATAGAGCACCGTGGGACGCAATATGATATTGGATTAAAAAGAGAATTATGAGAATTTACAGATGTAAATTCCTTCCAGCATAATACAAATATTGATGGATTATCATCATAATGCTAAATAGAAATTACCTAGTGAAAAATGGAAGACTAGTGTATCATTTTACAGAGATAACTCTTATCCAGTGGCGTACGCATGATTTTTTCAAGATGGGGGGGGGGGGGGGGGGGTTTAAAATCGGGCCCGAAAAATTTGCTCCCGAAAATGTGAAAATCGCGCCGGCCGAAAAGTCGCTCAGTGGGGGGGGGGGGGGGGGGGTAAGAGGACACTTTTTTTTTTGGTCTCGAAATTTGAAAAATTGACATTTTGTTCCGTTGGGGGGGGGGGGTAAGGTCACCTTTTTTTTAGGCCTGCCATTGGTATAATTTTTCACAAAAAACCAAACACAAAACATATACATAAAAAACTCAAGGGGGGTTTAACCCCCCCCCCCCCCCCCCCCCCCTGCGTACGCGCCTGCTCTTATCTATTTACTGTTATGTAAATTAGAGTCATTTGATTGATTGATTTATTGT